TTTACACAAGTTAATATGTATGATAATTGTACTTGTGTGTACCTGTACCAAAATAAACTTGCTTCTTTTGTGCCAACTTTACCTGGAGTTTACCCGGAGAGAGTTCCGGGGGTCAACGCCCCCGTGGCCCGGTCTGTGACCAGGCCGCCTGGTGGATCAGAGCCTGATCAACCAGGCTTTTACTGCTGGCCGCACGCAATCCAACGTATGAGCAACAGCCCAGCTGGTCAGGTATCGACTTTAGGTGCTTGTCCTGTGCATTCTTGAAGACAGCCAGGGGTCTATTGGTAATCCCCCTTATGTGTGCTGGGAGGCAGTTGAACAGTCTCGGGCCCCTGACACTTATTGTATTGTCTCTTAATGTGCTAGTGACACCCCTGCTTTTCATTGGGAGGATGTTGCATCATCTGCCGAGTCTTTTGCTTTCATTGTGAGTGATTTTCGTGTGCAAGTTTGGTACTAGTCCCTCTAGGATTTTCCAGGTGTATATAATGATGTATCTTTCCTGCCTGCGTTCCAGGGAGTACAGGTTCAGGAACTTCAAGCACTCCCAGTAATTAAGGTGCTTTATCTCCGTTATGTGCGCCGTGAAGGTTCTCTCTACATTTTCTAGGTCAGCAATTTCACCTTCCTTGAAAGGCGCTGTTAGTGTGCAGCAATATTCCAGCCTAGATAGAACAAGCGACCTGAAGAGTGTCATCATGGGCTTAGCATCCCTAGTTTTGAAGGTTCTCATTATCCATTCTGTTACTTTTCTAGCAGATGCGATTGATACAATGCTAAGAACATAAGAAAGAAGGAACACTGCAACAGGCCTACTGACCCATGCGGAGCAGGTCCATGTCCCCCCCCCCTGGATTAGACCAATGACCCACCCCCCAGATTATCCAATGACCCACCCCCAGATTATCCAATGACCCACCCAGTCTGGTCATCCCCACTCAAGGATGAGCACTGTACCAGACCCAGCAGGACAAGCTAGTCAGGTCCAACTCACACCCACCCTTTCGTGTATTTATCTAACCTATTTTTAAAACTACACAAAGTTTTAACCTCAATAACTGTACTCGGGAGCTTGTTCCACTCATCCACAACTCTATTACCAAACCAGTACTTTCCTATATCCTTCCTGAATCTGAATTTTTCCAACTTTAAACTTTTGCTGCGAGTCCTGTCTTGGCTGGAAATTTTCAGCACACTATTTACATCCCCTTTATTTATTCCTGTTTTCCATTTATACACCTCAATCATATCCCCCCTAATTCTATGCCTTTCGAGAGAGTGCAGATTCAGGGCCTTCAGTCTATCCTCATAGGGAAGATTTCAGATGCATGGGATCATCTTTGTCATCCTCCTTTGTACATTTTCCAGAGCATTTATATCCATTCTGTAATACGGTGACCAGAACTGAGCAGCATAGTCTAAATGAGGCCTAACCAAGGATATATAGAGTTGAAGAACAACCTGAGGACTTCTATTATTTATACTTCTAGATATGAAGCCAAGAATTCTGTTAGCTTTATTGCGAGCACTAATGCACTGTTGTCTTGGTTTTAGGTTACTGCTAACCAGAACTCCTAAATCCTTTTCGCAATCGGTAGTATTAAGATCTACATTATTTAGTTTATATGTTTGGCATGGTTATTTAACTGTCCAACATTTAGAACTTTGCATTTGTCAATATTAAACTGCATCTGCCACTTCTCCGACCATTGCGTCAGTCTATTCAAATCATCCTGGAGTGCTCTAATGTCCTCATTAGAATGAATTGGATGGCCTATTTTGGTGTCATCAGCAAATTTGCTTATGTCGCTATTTATTCCCTCATCAATGTCGTTTATGTAAATTGTGAACAACAACGGGCCCAACACTGACCCCTGAGGAACACCGCTTGTGACGTGCCTCCATTCTGATTTCTCCCCATTTATGCAAACTCTCTGCTGTCTATTTGTCAGCCATGCCTCTACTCAGGAAAAAATTTCTCCTCCTATTCCGTGTGCCCTAAGTTTCCTCAATAGCCTCTGGTGTGGAACTCTATCGAAAGCCTTACTGAAGTCCATATACACAATATCATATTCATTACCATGATCTACCTCCTCGAACACCTTAGTGAAAAAAGTTAGTAAATTCGTAAGACAGGAACGCCCCTTTGTAAAACTGTGTTGAGAATCTTTAATCAATCTGTGCCTGTCAAGATGGTTAAGAATTGCTTCGGCAATTATTGATTCCATAAATTTTCCCACTATGGGGGTAAGGCTTATTATGGTCCTTGAAGGCGAGATCCTCCGACATGATCACTCCCAGGTCTTTGACATTGGTTTTTCGCTCTATTTTGTGGAAGGAATTTGTTTTGTACTCTGGTGATGTTTTAATTTCCTCATGTTTACCGTATCAGATTAATTGAAATTTCTCATCGTTGAACTTCATATTGTTTTCTGCAGCCCACTGAAAGATTTGGTTGATGTCCGCCTGGAGCCTTGCAGTGTCTGCAATGGAAGACACTGTCATGCAGATTCAGGTGTCATCTGCAAAGGAAGACACGGTGCTGTGGCTGACATCCTTGTCTGTCAGATATGAGGATGAGAAACGAGATGGGAGCGAGTACTGTGCCTTGTGGAACAGAGCTTTTCACCGTAGCTGCCTCAGACTTTACTCTGTTGACTACTACTCTGTGTTCTGTTTGTGAGGAAATTATAGATCCATCTACCCACTTTTCCTGTTACTCCTTTAGCACACATTTTGTGCGCTATTACGCTATGGTCACACTTGTCGGAGGCTTTTGCAAAGTCTGTATATATTACATCTGCTTTCATTTTTGTCTTCTAGTGCATTTAGGACCTTGTCGTAGTGATCCAGTAGTTGGGACAGACAGGAGCGACCTGTTCTAAACCCATGCTGCCCTGGGTTATGTAACTGATGGTATCTAGATGGGTGGGGATCTTGCTTCTTAGGACCCTATCAAAGATTTTTATGATATGGGATGTTAGTGCTATCAGTCTGTAGTTCTTTGCTATTGCTTTACTGTCCCCTTTGTGGAGTGGGGCTATATCTGTTGTTTTTAGTAACTGTGGGATGACCCCACTGTCCATGCTCCCTCTCAATAGGATGGTAAAAGCTCGTGATAGGGGCTTCTTGCAGTTCTTGATGAACACGGAGTTCCACGAGTCTGGCCCTGGGGCAGAGTGCATGGGCATGTCATTTATCGCCTGTTCAAAGTCATTTGGCGTCAGGATAACATCAGATAGGCTTGTGTTAACTAAATTCTGTGGCTCTCAAAAATTCATTTTTATCTTCGACTCTGTCTGGTCAGCGGCTTGCTACAAACCGAGTCATATTGGGACTTGAGTAGCTCACTCATTTCCTTGCTGTCATCTGTATAGGACCCATCTTGTTTAAGTAGGGGCCCAATACTGGATGTTGTTCTTGACTTTGATTTGGCATAAGAAAAGAAATACTTTGAGTTTCTTTCGATTTCATTTATGGCTTTTAGTTCTTCCCGCAATTCCTGACTCCTATATTATTCCATTAGCTTAAGTTTGATGTTTGTTATTTCTCTGACTAGTGACTCCCTACGCATTTCAGATATATTGGCCTCTTTTAGCCACTCTGTTGTTCTTTTCCGTCGCCTGTAAAGGGGGCGCCTGTCTTTCTATTTTACATCTACTCCTCCTTTTTCTTGAAGGAATAAACCAATTCATGTATATCTACTGCATTCTTTGTATGACTCTGAGAATTATTGTTTTAATGTGACCTATGACCTAGGAGATTGTGGGGATAATAAGTGACCTCTGACTTTAGGATTGTTATTGAAGTGACCTTTGATATGGAGGGATTATTGGAGTCACAAAATAGAGGATTAATAGTGAGGTCTGTACAGCTCCTAGAGCTTTAGTAACAATAATAATATTAATACAACAATACTCCAGTAGGTTTTGGATTGTATGTATGTAGTTAGGAATTGTTACAGTATATCATTTCATTTATTTTAATAGCTTGGGTTGCCTGAGATAATAAATTTTTCATCAGAAGAATTGATAGATTATATTGTGCTGGTATTTCCTTGGTCCAAATGTGAGTTTTAATGGGATGTTTAGAGGAATTTGCTTTGTGGAGACAGACAAAAAATGTGAAATACACTATTAATTTTTTTTTTTTTTTTTTATGGGGGATGTGTGATCATAAGCTCTACTGTATCAGCAGTGGTGCAGCCATGTACATATAGGGGAAAGGAGGATTGAGCAGCAAGCACAAAGGCATAATATTTTAAGAAATTTCACGTGCTGAAAAACGTATTAGTTATCGGCACTAATCCGTTCCAGAAGTTTGGCCTAAAACTGAAATGGCCGAAAACCGAAATAATATTTCCCATAAGAATTAATGTAAATACAATTAATCTGTTTCAGACACCCAGAAATATTAACAAAAAATATATTTTTTAAAGATTAATTATAGTTTTACATACACAAAACAATGAGAACTAAATAAAATAAACATTTAAATCACTATTACATACCTTTACTGAAGACTCTAGTTGGCTTATGGAAGACAGGGAGGAGAGAGGGAGAGCTGATTATTGTTTGGAAGGGAAATCCCCCTCCATAAGGACTTCAGGTATCAAAGCCCTCTCTGGGGTTACTTCCCTCCCTGCCTGCTGCACTCCCTGCCTCCCTTCCACACTCCCTGTTTCCCTGCTCAGAGGCGTCGTAAGGGGGGCGGGCCGCCCCGGGTGACACCATTTAGGGGGTGACACCATAGAGCCTCTAAAGACATAACTGGAGTTTACCCCCCATCCCCCCCACCCTTGAATTTCATGGGGGTGACACCAAAGATGCTGCCCTGGGTGACACCAGAGATTCCGCCCCGGGTGACACCAGCTCTAGCGACGCCTCTGTCCCTGCTACACACACTACATGCCTGCTACACTCCCAGCTTCCCTTCCACACTCCGTTTTCCTGCTACACTCCTGCCTGAGAAATGTTTGGATGAATGAGCAGAAGCTTCCTTACACACCCAGAGACAGCCAGACTGACTCACGAGATGTACGAGTGACTGTGGCTGCTGGGTGGACGGGTACAATATGGCTGATAAGCGAAATAACGGCCTATAACCGGAAGCCGAAAAGCTGGCCAATAACCGAGTTGGCAGGTAAGCAGAGCAGCCGATAAGAGGGTCCACTGTACTACTAAAAATTATTTCTTTGCGTTTTTCAGCACATGATTTTCATGCCCCTCTCAGATTGAATACTGGCTGTGCCACTGTGTACCAATCTCTCTTGCACTTACATAGTTGTATCTCTAATGCTTATGAGTGGCCACTACCATTTATGATTTTAAGGTACGTTTTCCAGTACAGTAGACTGGTGATTATCAAGGGATCAACTAACAAATAACTTTACAGATTGGAGTAAAGTGTACAACTGATGTTGAAAAAACTGACATGTACGTATAAACTATTTTATAAAAAGCCCCTAGTTATGCAGAGTATTTTAGACAGCCTTGAAATTAAATTTTGTTTAACCACAATAGTCTACATAACCATACTTAAGCATAAATTATGTGATGATGCTTTGTAAGACATAATCACAGATAAGTGTTAAAAGAGCATTAACATGGTTATAATGTACCTGTACTTAAGTTCCAAGGGTACAATTCTCTCGTATTATTTTTAAAAGAATTTCAGTGTTGAATGTAGGTATTTTGCCCTATAATCTTTAGTACAGGATCTACATGCTATATATAGACTTGACAAGATTAGGTCACCAGGAAATGGATAGCACCATTTATTTTTGTATCTGATTTGCTATGTTTAATCTTTAAGTTTTCTATACATTTTCATGGTTTCTGTAGGTTTTTATCGGCCAGTCTAATGTGGATTTACCATGAATTTAGAATGCCTCCTGCCACCTGGTCAAACTAGTGTCGCCTACAGTATAGGATAATGGAATGGGACTTGAAGGTAAGTATGAATAACTCTGAGATGTATGTTGAAGTAGAAAATTGTGAAATCTGGACTTGGTTAATTATTTTTTTTTTTTTTTTAAGTGAGCTGAAATTCCTAACTCCACTGCTTGCAGTTGTGTGGGTAATCATATGATTAACCCTTTTTCTCGCATAGATCTTTGTTATTGAGGTCAGTGATATCTACGTAGATCTACGTGTTAATCATAGTGCTCTCATGTATGCTGCAAGTGGTAAATTTTTGCCTAGACGAGTGAATGGGTCTGTGCGGTGGGTGTACCACATGCAGTACAAGAAGATAATGGTTAACCTCTGACAGTGTGTTTGGGTTAAAATAATGACTTTCAGATGTTTTTTAAAGCAATTTTCCTTGGTTTTATCTGCTGTTTCTTAGCACTTTTTTTTTATCAATTTGAGACTGAAAGTGGCCTGAAATAATAGGCCTCAAAGTGGTAAAAGTATTTGATTTTGGATAATTTTCCTGAAGGATAGGAGCCTTCCCCCAAACCCTGATCTGTTTTAAGGTTTTTTACTAAATCTACTTCAATTATTGGGTTCTCCAAATCATGACCAAGTATTCTTAACCCTTTGACTGTAGCGGTCGTATATATATGTCATGGGAGATACCGTGTTTGACGTATCTATACGCATAAATTCTAGCGGCTTCAAATCAAGCGGGAGAGGGCTGGTAGGCCTACACGAGAGAGAATGGGTCTCAGTGGTCGGTGTGCACCCTGTGAAAAAAATCTGGGACTCAGCGGTGCATTGTGGGAACGCCATCTTGGTAGTCCATTTTCACCATGCCTCGCGGTAAGAAGTTCCTCACTCCTCGGCGGATTGGAGGTCTTTTGTTCCCAAGTGATAGCTCAAACAGTGATGATGGTGTCAGTGAAAGTGAATTCCCTGGTTTTGAAGCGGGTGTGACCGAAAAAATTACCCAGGATAACATAATTAGTGATGAAAACCCAGATGACCCACAACCTTCCACCTCTGGTGCTGGGCCGGCTCGTTCATGTTTCACCTGTACCAGGATGAAAGAGGGAAACTATTTGCCCGTGTACAAGACTCAGATGTGAGCAGTGCAAGTGATAGTGATTTCAAGGTTATTGAAAGCAGTTCTAGTTGTGACAGTGAGGGTGAATATTCCCTAGTGAAGCGGCAGTATATACAACGTCGCATGCGGTCTGGTAGTGTGCCATATGCTCTTCCAAGAGGAAGGAGTACATCTCTGAGCACATCCCGTGGCCCTACACCACGTCCTGATATGAAGATGACGATATTGTTACGATGGGTATCAATGTTTGCAAGTGAGGCAGCAGGCGGTGGTGGTGATAGTGATGGTGGCATGAGTCATGTGACACCAGCAGCAGGCCACGCTACTACCCGCGCTGCTGACTCTGCACAACTACAACCAGCCTCACCCGACCCCACACTCCCACAACCACAACCTGCACAACCACAACCACAACAACACATTACAATATCCAGAATGCACCAGCTGACCGCACCTGGGATTGGCAGCAAGATGACGAGTTTGTTCCCAATCCCCATGACTTTGATGGAGGACAAAGTGGAATACGGCCATCACGTACACTTGGGAACAATCCCACTGAACTGGAATGCTTTCAGTTGTTCATCGATGAACCTCTGATGGACATTATTGTCAGGGAGAGCAATACATACTATGAGTACACCATGGCAAACACTATTCTGTCACCAAGATCACGCCTACACCAGTGGAAGGACACAACTGTGGCAGAGATGTATCTGTTCTTTGCCACAATAATGCTTATGCCACATGTGTATAAGCATAGTGTCAACACATACTGGGCGACAGACCGCCTGATTTCAACCCTGCTTTCAGTGACATTTACCAGTAAATAGATTTGTTACTGTTACATATGTTACACTTTTCAGACAAAACCAGGCCTGACAGAAGCAACAGGTTATATAAGATCAGACATGTGTTTATGTACCTGAAACAAAAGTGCTGTATGTATTTTTATCCCTTCAGGAAGCTTGTTATTGACGAGTCTTTGATTTTGTTCAAAGGAAGACTCTCATTCAAGCAGTATATACCAAGCAAGAGGAAATGCTTTGGTATAAAGTTATTTGTTCTGTGTGATTGCAAAACTGGTCTGGTTTTGGATATAATTGTGTACACTGGCAGTAAAAGAATGGAAGATACCAGAAAGTTACTGGGTATCTCTGGTGATGTGGTTAGAACAATGATGGAGCCATATCTTGGTAAGGGGCATATTTTATATACTGACAACTGGCACACGAGCCCTATACTCAGTGATTTCTTGTGAGTGAACATGACAGATGTGTGTGGCACAGTGCGTGGAAATCGTAAACATATGCCTAGGTTCGATGCTGGCAGTCATAGAGGTGAAGTGCAGGTGTTTGCTGCCAATGACATCATGGCATTTCGGTGGCATGACAAACGTGATGTCACACTGCTGACATCAGTTCACCGACATGAAATGGTAGACACTGGCAAGCAGAATAGAGAGATCAATGAACCCATTGTAAAACCTGCAGCTGTGATGGATTACAACCTCAATATGCACTTAGTGGACAAATGTGACATGCAGATTGGGTTTGCTGACTGTGTTTGCAAGAGTTATAAGTGGTACATAAAACTGTTTTTCCATCTTCTTGACATTTCCATGCTGAATGCTTATAATATGTATAAGTTGAAGACCAAGAAGAAACCCAAATATGGTGAATTTTGTTTGTCAGTCATCAGACAAATAGTATTCAAGTACCAAGAAACAACACCTGCAATAGACCAGCGCCCACAAAATTATCAACACATGTCCTCTCATCTGAGGCCTGGTGATCACTACCCCATACCACTGCCTGCTACTACTGCCAAGAAAAATGCTCAGAGGTGTTTTGTCTGTGGACATACCACAAAACGCCCACAAAAACGCAGAGACACTCGTTTTATGTGTGAGGAGTGTAAGACACCATTGTGCTTATACCCATGTTTCAAAGAATTCCACAAGCTGCAGCACTTCTAGAAAAGTGTCCAGTGATTGTACATATGTATATATATTATAAAACAATCGTAATAAACATTTGTTTACATTGTTTGTGTAAATAAGTTTTAGCAATATTATAATGATAGAGTTTTTGCTGTAATTTGTTACATTCAACGAGTGTATATTTGAACATTGCACAATAATTTGGTCTCGCAGGCCACAAAAGTTATGTGAAAAAATAAAATAGTGAAAAAAACAAGAAACCATCGAATACAAGTAAATCAAAGTTTACCGGGTGAGTGGCAGTCGCCGCTGTTGCCGCTCGCAGATCAATTTCAGCAAACTTCAGGACTCTATATCTCGGTAAGTACTGATGGGGAAAATTTTTTTTTTGGGACTAAAACAATCGGAAAAATAATCTTAACATTTTCATAAGAAAAAATAATTTTTTTTTTTTCGAATATTTTGCGACACCAGGAGACACTTCAGGATTGGGCCTTTCGACAGTCAAAGGGTTAATTATATTTTATTAACTGAGAAATTGGGAAGAACTTCAGTGCTTTGTGTGCGATGGAGGATTCAAAATGCAGAGCAGTTATGTAGGAGAGGCCTGGGGATGTGATTAATGAGCAGAGGAATGGTTGCTTTACTGTAGTGGCTGGAATGCCTTCAGCATTTAGTTTGGATTGTTTTTAAATGGGAATTTGTTGAATTTTGTGTAAAATTGGCCAAATTACTGGCTTTTGTATACAGTATCAGTGGTATACAATACTGACATGATGAATTACACACGTGCAACATCTTGGTATCTTTATTTAATAGACATTTTACCATTTGATGGCTTTAGCAATATAATACACAGACATAATTTGAAAGCTGAAGAATTATATTCAGAAGACAGTAGATGATGTAAAGGACTAGCATGTGGAAATGTTAGAAATTTAGAGGGCACTATAGGTTTGAAGTACAGTGCGTTTGTACACGTGTATAACTAGCTCGATTGCTAATGCATTCATCTCTCACACTGTGGTCCAAAGTTTGAATCTTAGGGATGACTGGAAAACATTAGGAACACATTTCCATAAGGCACCTGCAGTCCCTGTTCACCCATCAGTATAAAATGGGTACCTGGGTGTTATTCGACTGGCGTGGGTTGCATCCTGGGACAAAACTGACCTGATTTGCCTGAAGTGCTCATGCATAACAAGTGGCTTTCTATATAGTAATGTCATTGATGTCAGCTAGGCCTGTATAACTTGTACATGTGCTTGTAGAAATAAAGATATTAATTATTATTTTAAAATGATATTTTCTAGTTGTGAAAGTGTTTCTTGTTTGGTACTTAAGGTGAAAGAGAGTGACATAGTTTGCATATTAATTTCTTACCTAACAAGAATTATAAATACAGTACTACTGTAGTGTGTTTACTTTTCAGATAGATGAGAAGGATGCCACTGACATGGAGGAAGGTCTCAATGTTCATCTCTATTCCCAAGATGAAAGTGAAGATGATTTGCAAGTATCTTTTGAGAGTAATTTCAGGAGGAAAAAAAATTTTACCTCCAAGCTTTACTTAACTAAAGAAAAAAAGCATGAAGGATATAAAACCAACTGTGATGCAGAAGGGATGCTAAATCAACCTTCTATGGGCGGCTCTAGCAGTAATATTCCTTTTAATTATTTATCTGCTTTTAATTCAGTACAACACACCAGGCTACACTTTCAGGATAATTTTTCATATCCTGCCTTTTGTAACATTCCTTGTGAAACTTTAAAAGTTTTTCCGGTCATTAAAAATGGTGGATCTTCAAAAATGTCTGATTCCAAGGATGGTAAATGTGATGTGGATACTAAGGTAAATATTGAAAATGTTACATCCTTGGGACTTCAGCCAACTCCCAATGAGTTTGATACTGAAAATCAGACTTGAAAGATATTGATGATAAAGAGAATAACTCTTCTTCTAACTTAATGATAGATGTCATTGGCAAAATTAATACCCAGAACAGTGATATGCAGAAAAAAGGTACAGTTGAGTATAGTATAAGAGGTGGTCATCCAGGTACAAGTGAGGTGTGGAATAATCATCAGCACTACACGAAGAAAGATTCTTCTGATGCCAGGTCAATACCTGTGATGTGTAGAAATTATCAAGCAAAGGAAAATTCTTTTCATAAATGTGAACTAAAAAATATTTGCCAGTATGCATCGCTGGAGAAATCTTCAGATATGAATGAAATGGCAAAATGTACATCTCCATCAGAGATACTGGTTGCGAGCAGGAAAAAGAAAGGGAAGTATTTAACTAAGGTGCTTAAGATAAGCAAAAGTTTTAAAAGTTTGGCCTCCAAATATGACAGTCCACCAAAGGTAACACCACCTGAAGAAATTTCTTTGAATTCTACATTCACTGGTAAAGAAAATAGTGAGAGATGCCTAGAAGAACCAGTTATCAATTTAGTACACCTCAAGAGTCACAGGTCACGTGTATAAGTGAAGATGCTTCTAGTGGTTATTTAGAAAGTGGGAGTGTACAGGCAAAATCCATAGTAGAACCCAAATCCTCAGGTGCTCACTGTCATATCAGTTATTCTTATTTGGGTAATGAATCCTTCCATGGCCAAGATGTTGAGAGTCTACCAGCATATACTGCTAATGAAATAAGCACAAACTGGTGGCTCTTTCATGCTCCAAGTAGTTCAAGTGCAGTGCCACAAGCCCTAAGTGCACACGGCCAAGGGTACAATTATGCCGTCAAGGTAAGTGAAAGGAAAAATATTAAACTAGTTCTTTATTCTAATTTCATTCATTTTTTTATGAAGAGAATAGAAGTAGCTTCAGTGTTGGGACTAATACAAATACATTTTAACCTTACTGTACTACCATATTTTTTTTTTTTTTTAACTTCCATTCATACTAAAGGTCTAGAGAATATCAGAGGTCATGTTTATTAAGACTACAGTAACTTGAATGATTTGCTGGTACATGTCCTGACCCAGGTCTTTTCCAGATGGTGACCGGCAAAAGACTTAAGGGATGTGATCAGTCAAGTATATGGATTTAAAGTATTGAATTTGTGATCATCATTGATCTTATAGGAAGAATTTCCTAAGTTAGCATTAATTGTAGCTGAAAACTAATACCTACTGTTAAGGGCTTAAGATTTGATACTCATTTATAATTGCTGTAAAACTTAACAAGCAGGTACCTACTGAGAAAGTATGCAATTCTAATGGTGTGCCATAGGAGTGCTACTGCTGAGCTCTTTTTATGAAGTATTTACATATCTGTTCTGTTATTTCTCTAAATCTTTCTGGAAAAATTAACTGATTCACTGTGATTATAAGATTGGTAACTGATCCAATCCTAAATGACATTTTTCTATGCTAACATTATTTATACCAGTAGGTCTTTGAATCTGTTATAAAAGATCCAACACCTATACTGGTTTCATAAGACCTGTTCTATTGCTGATCATGTCTCATGTCTTATTAATGCCTGATAATTTATTATATCTTATCTGGATTATTTATGTATTAACACATCGGCCAATTCCCACCAAGGCAGGGTGGCCCGAAAAAGAAAAAATTTCATCATTCATTCCATCACTGTCTTGCCAGAGGGGTGCTTTACACTACAGTTATAAAACTGCAACTTTAACACCCCTCCTTCAGAGTGTAGAAACTGTACTTCCCATGTCCAGGACTTGAGTCTTTTGTCTTAGTAAATGTGTACAGGAGAAGGGGTTACTAGCCCATAGCACAGGTTGGCCATCACTAATCCGGCAATCATTAATCCGGTTCCATCAGTAATCCGGCGCTAATTTCAAATTCCCAGGGTTGCCACACCAACCTGCTGCTACTGTTTGGTGGCATTACTTGCTGCACAAGTCTTTCCAATCCATTTATTGTTATAGCCTGCTCACTTTTAGCCCAAGCCGTGGTTCCAACAAAAGAAATGCTTCTCATTGTGTAAAGCACATACACCGTACATTGCCCATAAAGGATAAGGTGGCTTTGAAGCCACTATCGGTTGCTATGAGCTCGGCTCGCTCAGATACGCTATGCCCGGTAAGTTTGGGCCTATATGTGAGAGAATAGGTCTGTGGTAAGTGTGCACTATATAAAAAAAAAAAAAAAAAACTTGCAGCACATAGTACATAAGAAAAAAAGGCAGCTGTGTTTTTGATGTAAAACAGCAAATTTGTGGTGTACAGTGGACCCTCGCCTAACGATATTAATCCGTTCCTGAGAGCTCAACATTAGGCGAAATTATCGTTAGCCGAATTAATTTTCCCCATAAGAAATAATGGAAATCAAATTAATCCGTTCCTGACACCCCAAAGTATGAAAAAAAAATATTTTTACCACATGAAATATTAATTTTAATACACACAAACTGAAGAAGACATGTACAATTACATGACACTTACCTTTATTGAAGATCTGGTGATGATTGATGGGATGGGAGGAGGGGAGAGTGTGGATGGTGTTAATGTTTAGAAGGGGAATCCCCTTCCATTAGGACTTGAGATGTCAAGTCCTTTTCTGGGGTTACTTCCCTTCTTTTAATGCTGCTAGGACCAGCTTGAGTCACTGGACCTCTGTTGCACAACATATCTGTCCATAGAGGCCTATACCTCCCATTCCTTTATAACATTCCTAGTGTTTCACAACATTGTCAGTGTAATAGTCACCAGCACGGCTTGCAATAGCTGTGCGAGGGTGATTTTCATCAAAAAAGGTTTGCACTTTAAGCCACATTGCACACATTTCCTTAATCTTTGAAATAGGCAACTTCCTCAATTTCTCTATCCCCTCCTCCGGAGCAGTTTCCTCAGGTCTGGCCTCTTGCTGTTGAAGATGATCTTGCAGCTCATCAGTGGTTAGTTCATCATTGTCCTCCTCTGCCAACTCTTCCACATCCTCCCCACTAACCTCCAACCCCAAGGACTTCCCCAATGCCACAATTGATTCCACAACTGGCATAGACTTCTCAGGGTTAGCCTCAAATCTTCAAAATCCCTTTTGTCTACACATTCTGGCCACAGTTTCTTCCAAGCAGAGTTCAAGGTCCTCTTAGTCACTTCCTCCCAAGCCTTACCTATCATGTTTACACAATTGAGGATGCTAAAGTGATCTCTCCAAAACTCCCTTAGTCAGTCGAGTTTCTGTGGTCACTACAAAGCACCTTTCAAACATAGCTTTTGTGTAGAGTTTTTTGAAGTTTGCAATGACCTACTGGTCCATGGGCTGCAGAAGAGGAGTGGTATTAGGAGGCAAAAACTTCACCTTAATGAAGCTCATGTCCCCAGAAAGTCGCTCTGCCACATCTGAAGGATGACCAGGAGCATTGTCTAATACCAGGAGGCACTTAAGGTCCAATTTATTTTCCAGGAGGTAATTTTTCACAGTGGGGGCAAATGCATGGTGTGACCAGTCATAGAAAAGGTCTCTAGTGACCCATGCCTTACTGTTTGCCCTCCACATCACGCACAAATTAGCCTTGAGGACATTGTTTTCCCTGAACACACTGGGAGTTTGAGCGATACACCAATAAAGGCTTCACTTTGCAATCACCACTAGCATTAGCACACATCAACAGAGTAAGCGTGTCTTTCATAGGCTTATGTCCTGGGAGTGCCTTTTCCTCCTGAGTAATGTAGGTCCTGCTTTGCATTTTCTTCCAAAACAGGCCTGTTTTGTCACAAACACTTGTTCAGGTTTCAATTCTTCACTGTCTATGTACTCCTTGAATTCCTTCACATATTTTTCAGCTGATTTTTGGTCCGAACTGGCATCCTCACCATGCCTTATCACACTATGTATCCCACTACGATTCTTAAATCTCTCAAACCAACCTTTGCTGGCCTTAAATTCACTCTCATCACCACTAGTTGCAGGCATTTTTCTAATTAAATCGTCATGCAACTTTCTAACCTTTTCACATATGATCGCTTGAGAGATGCTGTCTCCTGCTATCTGTTTTTCGTTTATTCACACCAATAACAGTCTCTCAACATCTTCTATCACTTGCGATCTCTGTTTCGAAAACAAAGTTGCACCTTTGGCAAGAACGGCTTCCTTGATTGCCATTTTCTTGGCCACAATAGTAGCGATGGTTGATTGGGGTTTTGTGTACAACCTGGCCAGCTCTTGAGACACGCACTCCACTTTCATACTTAGCAATGATCTCTTTCTTCATATCCATAGTAATTCTCACCCTTTTTGCTGTAGGGTTGCACTAGAAGCTTTCTTGGGGCCCATGATGACTTATTTTGCAGGTGCAATCACTAAAAACGCTGTGATGTGAAATGTTCCGATTGTATGTTTGGATGCGACCGCGGTGGCTGGCTTGTAAACACTGGCACCAAAGGGACAAGTGAGGCGCCCTCAGGCCGCAAGTGGACGCATCTCGAACGGAACGAATTATGTTGGGCGAGTTTTTTAGCGCTAGCTGAGGCAAAATTTTTGCGTTAAAGTGTATCGCTAGCTGGATTTAACGTTATGCGATTCTTTCGTTAGGCGAGGGTCCACTTTATTTTCATATGGTTTGTATGGTTGTATTCTCGTTTTTTTTTTTTTGTCTCATTTGATAGAATGGAAGATATAATACAGAAACAGATATAATTTTGATTGGTTTCACAACAGAAAGTACCTTAAAATTGAGCTCAAAGTAGTGGAAATGTTCGATTTTTACTGATGTTCCAAAGTAAATAAATGATGTCACCATCCAGTACGTGTCCAACTGGCCGGTCTAATATGCAGTCATGAATGGGTTGACATTATTTATACAATAATTACAGTAATGCAGTAGTCTTCATAAGAGTAAATCTTGAATTTTCTGTGAATAAAAATTCAAAATGGGAAGCAAATGTTATTTTAGTGCCAAGAAGTCTGCATTGTTTATTCTGGACCCTATTTTGAAATTTGCATCTCTTGAAATTTGTGTGAAATTGGCCAAATTACTGATTTCTGACCACTTTATTGGGTAATTGAAATAGGTAAATGGGCAGTTTCTTGTGCTGTCGAAAGAATAGAAGGAATACTAGTGAAATATAGCTATGAGTTTTGTAGACTGGAACAATTAGAATGTAATGGGCCAAAAATAGGGTGTAAAGTGGATGAAATCATCAATGCTTAAATATCACCACTGGGTTAAGTGTATTCAAACCCAGCCACTCTGTAATCCAGCAAAATCACTAATCTGGCACCCTACAGGTCCCGAAGATGCCAGATTAGTTATGGTCAGCCTGTACAAACCTTTTTTCAATAGTCTTTCGTTGCTTTTCAATAGCCTTTCATTGCATTTCTTCCTTGAAATTTTTAGCTTGTTTTCCCAATTGATTCGTCTATTTGTAGATGACGCAGCTTACCATTTTTTCCCATCAAATGTTGCTCATAAGGGGATCTTGATCCAGTAATTGGACCTGCTTTCTCCTTTGGATTGAACCTGAATGGCTCCCATTCCCCCATGACTAATAAAAATAATTCCATGTGTTTCAAAGCATTAATTTCTTCATAGTAGATTATTATTCATTTGATAAAAACTGTTTTAATTTTTGTATTTTTATTATGGCTCTTTTTCAGCTCCCAGTGAATTTCTCATACTGTACTGTCCTTAATTTATGCCTGCTCAAATTCCATTTCTTTATAATGTGTATTTGTTCATTAGCTAAATTCAGTTGTAATAAATTAAATTTTACCATTCTCTTATAAAAACATGCTGATTACTAGCTTTGCTTATGGTGATTTTGAATCTTCTGTGAATAGCTCAGCATGACTGCTGTTTCTGACTTATCCTGGAAGCATTATAATTTTGTGGTTCAGATGTACCATATAAAGCAGAAATTGTTCAGGTTCAGGGGATGTAGGATTGTATTTCGTCTCTAATGTAGAAGTATATTTTCTAGTGCAGCTGGGGTGGGGGTTGTGTTCTGTCAAAAGACTTAAGGCGAGTATTTGTCTTTTCAGTCTGAGTGTGATGAAAAAGAACTACAGATGAAGAAGTTTAAACCAGGCTTTATAGACACACACTGTCATCTCGACTTCTTATTTCAGCGCTTGAATTTCAGTGGCTCTTATGCAGAATTTCAGTCAGATCGAGAAAATAAAGATCCATTTCCTGTCTCTTACGAAGGCTGCGTTGCTATTTTTTGTAAGCCTTGGACATTTAAGAAGGTAAGTATTAATAAATTTCATATGAAAAAAATATAAGCAATGAGAGATTAGATATCAGATTGGAGGGAGGTAGTTTATAAGAAATAAATATGTTTAGATATCTGGGAGTAGATGGCTCTGTGAGAGATGAAGTAAATCATAGAATTGATGAAAGGGAAAAGGTGGGTGGTACATTGAGGCATCTGTGGAGGCTCAATCCCTAGCGCACTCAGCTCTCACACTGAGGTCCGAGGGTCAATCTTGGGTATGGCTGGAAACATTAGGACGCGTTTCCTTAGGATACCTGCTGTCCATGTTCATCTAGCAGTAAAATAGGTATTTGGGTGTTAGTAGAGTGGTGGGGATCACATTCTGGGACAAAATTTACCTAATTTGCCCAAAATGCTCTGAATAACGAGGGGCTTTCTATGTACAGTGGACCCGTGGTTCACGATATTAATCCGTTCCCGAGAGCTCATCGTAAACCAAAATTATCGGAAAGCAAATAAATATTCCCCATAAGAAATACGTAATGGAAATCAAATTAATCCGTGCAAGACGCCCAGAAGTATTAAAAAAAACTTTTACCACATGATATATTAAGTTTAATGCAATATAATAATTACAATAACAATAATAACACTAGAATAATCACAATAGAATAATTGACACTTACCTTTAATGAAGATCTGGTGATGATTGATGGGATGGGAGGAGGGGAAAGTGTCGAAGTTTTTAATGTTTAGAATGGGAATCGCCTTCCATTAGGACTTGAGGTAGCAAGTCCTTTTCCGGGGTTACTTCCCTTCTTTTAATGCCACTAGGACCAGCTTGAGTCACTGGACTTCTGTCGCACAACATATCTGTCCATAGAGGCCTGTACCTCTCGTTCCTTTATGACTTTCCTAAAGTGGTTCACAACATTGTCAGTGTACAGGTTGCCAACACAGCTTGCAGTAGCTGTGTCAGGGTGATTTTCATCAAAAAAGGTTCACACTTCAAGCCACTTTGCACATATTTCCTTAATTTCAATAGTCATTAGCACCCTTGGTCTCGATGGGCTGGCACTAGAAGCTTTCTTGGGGCCCATGGTGACTTATTTTGCAGAAACAAGCACCAAAAACAGTGATAATATGGATAATATAGAAAGTACCAAATGTATCATTAGATGCGCGCACACTGGCTGGCTTGTAAACACTGGACACGTCTCGTACGAATCGTATCGCATACCGGGTTTTGTAACTGGAACCAAGGCAAATTTTTTGCGATATAATGCTTCGGATACCAGATTTATCGGATACCGATGGCTTCGTGAACCGGGGGTCCACTGTAGTACTATATCGTTGATGTCAGCTACGCCTATATACCTTGTATACTTGTAGAAACATTATCTCTGTCCACAGCATGATTTGAACCTACACACACTTCATCAAAAGTACGTAGTACCTTTTCCACTAAGCCAGATCCCTGATAAGTATGATGAAATAACCTATCACTGGCCTGGTGTCCTGGGGTATGAGAGTGACCACTTAACTTTGGCTAGGCAGCCATACTTATCTGGGATTTGGCCAAGTGGAGAAGTGTAGGTTCAGTAGCTCCCTCAGATATGGGGGGACTACTGTATGTGACACTTAAAGCACCCCAGAGTGATTATTATTATTTTTATTATTTTTGTCTTCAACACTGGTGAGACACTCTTTAGTGATTTTTAATGGGTACCTGCATGCCAGCACAGTTTAGAGGTTTATTTAGGTACAGGTAAACATAAGTACAATTATCAGATAATGGGGTGGTCCTGGCAAAGGACGACCCCCTATACTAACACACTCACACATGCAGCAGGAATGTGCGAGTGTGTTAGGAGTGAATGGAGACGAACGTTTTTTTTGTAATGTGATGAGCTGTTGGAGTGTGAGCAGGGTAATATTTTGTTAAAGGATTTAGGGAAGCCGGTTAGCCGGACTTGAGTCCTGGAGGTGGGAAGTACAATGTCTGCACTTTAACCCTTAAATGGTCCAAACGTATATATACGTTGTCTCGCGTAGTGCCCCAAACATATGTTTCATTTTTTATTCATTCAACATTGGTGCGATAGGCCTGAGTTGCCTAGACATGAGAGAATTTGTGGGCGCACTCAGTGTGCACCATATGAAAAAAATTGGGGACACCTGAATACCACATGCTCTTTTTTTTTCTATAAAAAAAAAAAATTCTCAATATTCGGGGCACTACGTGAGAGAACGTATATATATGTTTGGACCGTTTAAGGGTTAAAGGAGGGGTTTGGAACATTGGCTGTTTGGAGTGACATCTAAAGTATTGTACCTGAGCTCCTCTGCAAAGACAGTGATTGTGTGAATGTTGGTGAATGTGTTGAATAATGAATTTTTTTGGGTCATCCTGCCTCAGTGGGAAATGGCCGACATGTTAAAAAAAAAAAAACTATGAAACTACTTGAAATTTTGGAAAGTTTCCAGATATAATTGAGAGATGCAGAGCTCACAAAGGATGTGAACAGAGCAGTGTTGATGCTGTAATAGCAAAATTGGGAGCCATATAAACAAATTTTTGGTTATGATTTGAAATGTCTGTATTAGCAAATTGATGTAAAGTGAATTGCCATAAAGGACCCTCCTGTATGTATACTGACCTGCATTAGAGGCTGCTTGCTTACATCTATTCACCATCCCTCACCCCCATGCACTGCTAAAGCAAGGGAGTTGCCTAGTGTGTAGTGATGGGTCTCCTGCCTGCCTGATGCAGGTCTTCTTAATGGAAATGTGCACCACCAGTGTTGCACATTTCCATTAAGAAGACCTGCACCAGGCACCTTAATGAAACTGGCATGCTTACTTGGAAATGAAAACCTAAATATAAATCACAGAATATTGAAAACACATGCTATGATTATGTGCCTTAAGGTTTACTACTAGATATTCACTTCCTCCATAGATTACACTGTCCCTTCAGGAGAGTTGCTTTATAATATTCCTTTAATGAAGAAACACACATTTGAAACAGTAGTGTGAGAATATACAATTATTTTAGAAAATGTTTATTTATAATTGATTAAAGAAATGAAAGTGAAAATGTTGTACAAATATTACATGTAGGGCATTCATTCCTTTTTCCTTAAAATCTTTAAAAATATTGTATTATTAAAACTACTTGCAGATAAACTGGTGGGAGGACATCATATCAACATCCAATGTGTGGGCAGCTTTTGGCTGCCATCCACATTTTTCTGAGAGTTTCAGTGATGAGGAAGAAGTATATCTTAGACATGCACTTCAGAATGAAAAAACTGTGGCTCTTGGTGAAATTGGTCTAGATTATTCAGAGAGGTATGTTTAGGCTTTTTCTAAGTGGATTCAAATACTTTTGCAGTAGTTCATTTTAAGTTTTGTGTGTTAAATTGATAACATGATATCTGTGAGTTCGTCACATTCATCTACATTGCTGAGCTGTCTCCCAGTTCAAAAAATATGAAATGTAAAAGCTTTTAAAAATTTGTTGATTAACTTTCATATTATGGTCAATGTAAAAAATATGTTTTCAGGACCACTATAAAATCTTTTGCAGTATTTGTGAAAGCTGGAAGAAAAAAAAAAACTGAACATTGGTTTTGCAAATCTGCTGTTTCATAATTATTTGTGCCAAAATAAGCCTTCACTGAAAATATATTTTGTCTAGACAGAATATTTTCTTCATATCCTTATATAGATAGTGAACTTTCAGGCATTTATCAGCAGTATCAGAGTCATTGATGCTGCAGTGTATCTCAACATACAAGCCACAAATATACAAAATATTAGTGGCTTGTGTGTGTGGGTACATTGCAATAATAATGACTCAGAAACTGCTGCTGATCAATACCTCAAAAGTACAGTAATAGCTAAACAATAACACTTCCCATTTTCTTAGGCTGTATGACCTCTACTGGTTTAGTGCTCTCCCCATGAATGTAGTAGAGTAGTAAGTGCCAATTTGCTCTTCTCCATTCTTCGCAATTTTTTTCTGTACTCCCATTCCTTTCATCCTTGTTCAGTAAAATCTTTCATCTATTTTTTGTAGCCATGTACCACTCATGTTAGTATGTTACCCTGGCCATGTACCATTCATGCATATCTTCACTTTGCCTTGTAGCTTCAACTCATTTCAAGCTTGTGTTTAACAGTAATTGTGTATTTGTTTCAGAAAATATCTGAGTCGTGAATTACAGCAAGCTGTATTTCGTAAACAACTGCAGATAGCCTTGGAATATAAAAAGCCAATTGTAATTCATTGCCGTGACGCTCACAGGGATTGCATCGAAATTTTAAAAGAGGTGTAATACTATATTCTTTATGTATGGGGTTGAATTATATTTAGTAAGAATTTTTTTGAAGAAATCCATTATGAAACTTGCTTTAATGAGTGGCTTGTTGAGGAAGACTGACTTCAGAATGTAAATGTAACATTTTGAAGTGATAACCAGTGTTAACTGAAAATGTTTCCCATCTTCATTTCATTTCTTAAAATTGTGGTCATTTTGCATAGAAATTAATTTATTTTTTTATTAACACATTGGCCATTTCCCAACAAGGCCTGAAAAAAAAACTTTCATCACTCACTCCATCACTGTCTTGCCAGAGGCATGCTTATACTACAGTTATAAAACTGCAACATTAACACCCCTCCTTCAGAGTGCAGGCACTGTACTTCCCATCTCCAGGACTCTAGTCCGGCCTGCCGGTTTCCCTGAATCTCTCCATAAATGTTACCTTGCTCACACTTAAACAGCACCCCCAAGTCCTAAAAACCATGTCTCCATTCGCTCCTAACATGCTCTCACAGGCTTGCTGGAAGTCCAGGCCCCTCACACACAAAACCTCCTTTACCCCTTCCCTCCAACCTATCCCTCCTTTCCTCCACTACAGATTTATACACTGTCAAAAGTCATTCTATTTTGTTTCAGCCTCTCTGTATGTCCAAACCACTTCAACAACACCTCCTCAGCCCTCTGGATAATAGTTTTTGTAATCCCACACCTCCTAATTTCCAAACTATGAATTCTCTGCATTATATTCACAACACACATTGCCCTCAGACATGACATCTCCACTGCCTCCAGCCTTCTCCTTGTTGCAACTTTCACCACCCATCCTTCACACCCATATAAGAGCGTTGGTATAACTATACTCTCATACATTTCCCTATTTGCTTCAATGGACAAAGTTCTTTGTCCCCACAGACTCCTCAGTACACCACTCACATTTTTCCCCGTGTCAATTCTATAATTCTACTCTTTCATAGACCCATCTGCTGACACGACCACTCCTAAATATCTGAATACATTCACCACCTCCATTCTTTCTTCCCTCCAGTCTGATATGCAATCTTTCGTTACATAATTTTTTATCTTCATCACTTTACTCTTTCCTGTATTCACTTTTAATTTTCTTTTACATGCCCTATCAAACTCGTACACCAATCTCTGCAATCTCTCTTCAGAATCTCCCAAAAGCACAGTCATCAGCAAAGAGCAACTGTGACAACTCCCACTTTGTGTTCGATTCTGCCAACACCCTTGCATTCACTTCTCTTGCATCCCCATCTATACATATATTGAACAACCATGTTGACATAATACATCCTTGTCTAAGGCCTACTTTTACTGGGAAATAATCTCCCTTTCTCCTATGTACTTCAACCTGAACCTCGCTATCCTCGTAAAAACTCTTCATTGCTTTCAGTAACCTACCTCCTATTCCATACATATGCAACATCTGCCACATTGCTTCCCTATCCACCCTGTCATACGCCTTTTCCAAATCTATAAATGCCACAAAAACCTCGTTACCCTTATCTGAATACTGTTCACCTACATGTTTTGCTGTAAACACTTGATCTACACACCCCCTACCCTTCCTAAAGCCTTCTTGTTCATCTGATAGCCTACTCTCTGTCTTACTCTTAATTCTTTCAGTAATAACTACCATACACTTTACCAGGTATACTCTGCAGACTTTTTTTTTTTTAACAAGTCGGCCGTCTCCCACCGAGACAGGGTGACCCAAAAAGAAAGAAAATCCCCTAAAAGAAAATACTTTCATCATCTTCAAAAACTTTAAACCTCACTCACACATAATCATTTTATTCCTTAAAATTTTTTGCACCTTTTTGCCCCCTTTTGCCTTTTACAAAGGATCTGTGCATGCTCTCTGCCAATCCCTAGGTACCTTACCCTCTCCCATACATTTATTAACACTTTCACTTTCGGTACCGTAGTGTTACGCCAAAATTCTTACGGCTTCAAATTGTGGGAGAAAGCTGGTAGACCTACATGTGAGAGAATGGGTCTGCATGGTCAGTGTGCACAATATAAAAAACCCTACAGTATGCAGTGCATAAGAGGAAAAAAAAACTCCGACTGTTTTTTTTTGGTTTTTAAAATGCCGATTTTGAGGTGTATTTTAGCTTTGTATTTACGTTTGTATTCTTGCTTTCTTGGTCTCACTTGATAGAATGGAAGATATATTACAAAAATAAGATAATTTTGATTGGTTTCATGAGAAAAGAACCTTAAAATTGACTCAAGTAGCAGAAATGTTCTTTTTTTGCAGATGTTCAAAGTAAACAAATGGCATCACCACCAAACGTGTCCACATCATGAATGGGTTTGAACATTTATACAAAATTAAAAAAATGCAGTATTACATAACAGTAAATTTTCTATTTTTTGTGTGAAAAAAAATTCAAATGAAAGAAAAAGTAAAAAAGGGGGGGCCTGGAAAATTTTCTAAGAACGAGAAAATTTTATTTGTCCCGGGAAGTCTGCATTGTTTATTCTGGACCCTATTTTAAAAAGGCATCTTTTGAAATTTGTGTGAAATGGCCAAATTGCCAAAAATTTCTGACCATTCATTTTTGTTGTTAAATGGGTAAATGGGCATTTTTCTTGTACTCGATCGATAAACAAATGGAGATCTGGCAAAATAGCGAGTTTGGTAGACCGGAACAATAGAATTGGCTAAAAATAGGACTCAAAATGGGGGGAATTTGCCAAATTCATATATATTGTTAGACCTCTAATTCCGAGGAGGGAATTCTGAAATTTTTCCCATAAAAATTTTTTATTTTTGCATTCCCTTTTGGGAAAAAATTCTTCCTTTAAAGTTTTTTTTTTTTAAATTCTTCGAGACAGAGCAAGTTTAAAAGTGGGGGTCTTGCAGTGAAAGGGTTAATAAAAGCCCAACCACCCCCAAAACTTTTCCCCCCCGTTTTTAATTTTCGTTTTTCCATCAACCCCCGCTGCCTTCCTTTTCATTCTACCCAGCCTCAGAATTCCCCCCACACTGGGAACTGGCTCTTTCTCACCCCTACAAAGAGTTATTCCTCCTTTGCCCTTTAACGAAATCAACCTTCCTATCTTCTCAAACTTCAACATTTCCTCAAAATTTTCCCTTCCATCTTCCTGATACCTAAAACTTCCATTTAATAACTTTCTCCTTTTATAACATCAAATCCATTTGTTTTTCCCTGGGGTTTCCCCTCAGCTTATTAATCTGGGCCCCAAAAACCTTTATTTTCTACAAAATTTGTTGATAACGTCTCGCCCACTCTCATTTGCTCTCTTTTTACATTTTTTCCCCCCTTTTAACCTCTTTTTTTTCCATATAGCCTCCCTCCTTGCATCACTTTACTTTGAAAAAAACCTCCTATTAATTTTTTCTCTTACACTTTTACATCGTAAATCCCCCCTTAGCTTTTTTCCCCCCTGCACCCATTTTCCCTGTAACCATACACTGCTGAATACTAACACTGCTTTTCTTAAACCAACCCCATACATTTTAAACCCTCTTTGCCTGTACTCTCCTCCCATCATCCCCCAATATTTGTTCATATTTCCCCCAAACTGCCCCTCCCTCTAGTTTAAAAACCCTTTAACCTCTCTTTTGCTTCGTCCATTTTCTCCTGTGGTACAACTAAAAAGATATATACTGGGGGCCACCCCTAAAGCAGTCATCTTGAAGTCTCCCCACAGCCTTTTATATAACAGTAGTATACCAATTAAAAATAACCAATATATTTTCCCAATATATATTGGTTTTTATACACACGCAGGTTAGGAGGAAAGTTCTTTTCCACTTCCCCATGGAAAATTAAAAAGAAATAAAGAAACAGAGCTATTTAGAAAAAGGGAAAAAAAACCTAGATGTATGTGTGTTGTGTTTGTTTGTGTTGTGTGTTGTGTGTGTGTGTGTGTGTTGGTGTGTGTTGTTGTGGTGGTGTGTGTTTGGGTTTTTAATTATATATATATTTATAAATTATATATAAATATTAAAAAATATTAAATTATAAAAAATATATTTTAAAAATTTATTATATAAATTAATATATTTAAAATATTAAATATAAATATATAGTATATAATATATATTTTAATATAAATATATATATTTAATTATATATATATATTTTTTTAAATTAGTAGGTTGGTAACAGAAACCCACCCGGGGGAGGTACTACCGCCCTCCCAAGTGAGTTTTAAAACAAAGCCTTGTTTGTTTTACTAAAGGGGGGTTGTGATGTCTTTTGTCTGTTAAAAATTGCAGATTGGGCAGTCTTGCTACTTCTTTTTCACTTAGGTCACCTAACATACATGTACACATTTATTTAACACCTTCGAGTTTTCCTTTGATTTTATCTTAAAAGTTCTGGTCTTATTAATTTTCCTTTTTTATCCAGGGGAAGGGGAATAAGAATTTTCCTCGAAAAAGCCATGCTGTTGTAAAAGTCAACAAAAGCCGGGAACAAGGGGGCTAGAAACCCCCTTTTTTTTAAAGATACTAAAAAAATAAGAAGAAAAAAAAATTGTAAAAGTGGGAAGTCTAAATGGCGTGGATGTTTTGCAGAGATAAGAAAGAGAGTTTGTGGATTTTATAAAGGGAAAAGAAGCGGGATGTCCGGGGCTTTAAGTGAAACAAAGCTAAGGGGGGTGGGAGATTTTTCGTGGAGGGAATAAAGGGATTGGGTCAGGGGTTTAAAATGAGTTAGAGCTAAAAAGGGGTAGAAAAAATGTTAAAGGGATAAGCTATGGCGGGGAAAAGAGGGATATAAATGTTTAATCAAGGATTATGTGGAGTAAAATAAAGATTGGATGTGAAAAGTGGGTTATAAAAGGTGTATGCCCCTGGGAAAAAGAAGAAGTTAGAGGGAGAGAGAGTTTTTGGGAAATGTTGATGAATGCGTGGGATTTTGAATCAAGTGTGGATTTAAGGGGGTTGGGGTTTCAATGCAAAAGTGGTAAAAATGTTATGAAGGAGTAGTAGGAAAATTTGGGGTGCAGGGGTAAATGTAAATGGG